TGATTCACCTCAAACGATATTGAAAGCAGACATTCATCAGAGGAAGGTTATGCTCTCAGTGTGGTGGGATTTTAAAGGTGTCGTGTTTTTCAAGCTCCTACCAAGGAACCAATCAATTCAAATGTGTACTGTTGGCAATTGGACAGTTTGAACGAATCCATCATTCAGAAATGTCCAGAGCTTGTTAACTGTAAAGGAGTTGTGTTCCATCATTACAACGCGAGACCACACACAAGTTTGATCACACGTCAAAAAGTAGTGGACCTCGGATTGGATGTGTTGCCACACCCACCACACTCGCTTGACCTTGTGCCATCAGACTCCCACTTGTCTCCCTCTCTTCAAAACTCCTTGCATGGTATAACATTCAACTCAGATGAGGCTGTAAATCAGCACCTTGTTCAGTTTTTTGCAAATAAAGACAGGTCCTTCTATGAACGTGGAATTATGAAGCTCACTGAAAGATGGCAAAAGGTTATTGAACAAAACGGGCAATATATCATTGATTGATCTTTGTTCTTTATATAAATAAATGACCTTTGAAAAACATAAGACAACATTCGTCATGACTTTTCCAACAACCCAATACAATAAAACGGACTAAAGTCGGTCTCCATTTTATTATCACCATGCACTGTGTATTCTAACCAATGCCAGTGAGCAAGCACTCCTCCCTGAGAAAGTATTTTGTTTGTGTAGGCCCCAAACCCTTGCAGCATTACTGTTAAGTTTTAATAATAAGCTTCAGATTAGCCTATTTTTATCATTTATTCTTTAATGAACATAACATTCTACCTGGAAGCAAATTCAGAGAACCCCCAACTATACACTGGCCCCCGATACAGGCGGACTCAGCTCCCTGTGATTATCTTGAGAGTTCCAAAGTGTGTAAAGATTTGTTCCAAGTCCCTTTGGGCTCCGTTTATCTCTTCATCCTCTGGGATAATCGATATCCCCATGTTTAAACAGTAAATTCAGAATAAACAGTGACTACAGACTTGAAGAAATAGCACCTGAGCTACTTCTGTCATTTTTTGTGCCACGACTTGGAG